TAAACAAATAAATGTATACATATGAAATGTTCACTGGTTGTTTATAATTGCATTTTCTATACACGATAAAATTTTCGAAATATTATGATTTGTTTTGAACTGTTTAGGAACATTAATAAGGCTACCCTTATACACTCCTAGTAGTAAAATTTTAGCTTTTTCTTGCTGACTGGTCGCTGAAAGAGTGTTTTACCTTTAATAATGGCTGGAAATCATGTGTTATCCATTAGTTCTCTTAGTAGTTTTTTTAAAGACAACATGAAACAATTTAAAAGAGGTGAAATAGCGGATAAAGATGGCCAAATACTGAAATTCCAGGCAGATTTAGAACAAAATATTGTTGTAGGTGATGTCAAACCAAGTATGAAAAGTGATCCTTACAAGGTTAGGATTTTATTAAATGAATTTAGTATATCTGATGCCCATTGTACTTGTCCACGCGGAGTTGCAATTTGTCACCACTGAAACGATTATAATTAATATCGAAGAACGCAATGGGAAACAATGTTTTAATGATTGAAACATAGCATTGCCAGAAAAAATTTATGTTTATAAAATTATAACTATCTGTAAATTATATAGTATAGTTATTTTTGTAAAACTGTGTGATCAAATACTGGGTACCTAATTAAAATAAAAGAAATGTAAAAGAAAGTTTAAAATATCAAAAAACATTTCAAACAATAAATAAGTGGGAGACCATCAAAGATCGCGACAACATCAATCAATGTTGGAGACTATTTACCTGCCGAGGTCATGACAAGACGAAGATGTGCGAGGTGTTCAATGAAAAAAAAGAAACCCGGACTAAGCAAATGTGTCAAATGTGCAATTTACCACTATGCAAAAACTGTTTCACATTATACCATAGGTACTTCATAAAAATTAATCATATTATTTCGAAAATTTCAATTCACCTAACTATTATATTATGTTTTTGGGTCATGTTTTTTTTATTTCATTTTTAAATAAATTCAATACGGTACCCAACAAGTATTAGCATGCATGCATGCATATATATTTATCAAACAAAAATTGAGCAATGCAATTTTTCTAAGAATAATTTAAAAATATTACCACTGAAACAGTTTTCTATAACATTTCCTGGTTCAGTATCAATAAAACCTTTGCACTTTAGGTCCTTCAGTAAATCTTGTAAACTAATTATTTTTAGAATACCATCACTATTTTCAACCAGAGAGTCTTCTACTTCAAGATCTAAGGTTTAATAATTTTAAATATTTATAAATTGAGGATATAGATAAAATTTAAATACCATCCTGCATCAATTATTGGAACATCAATTGGTGCATAGTTTCTTTTTGTAGGTTCTTTTCGAGGACATTTGGCAGATTTTTGATGGTAAGAAGGAAAAGATGAGAAATTTGATGGTACAGAATCAATTTTTAAACATGGTTTAGTGGTACACTTGGTCTTATTTCATAATCACTGTCAATAAAATGAATACTGCATATACGACTCCATTGGGTAGGTAAAAGATTTTTCACCTCAATGCAATAATCCACTTTTGGTTTACCTTTTCATTATTCAAAGGAAATCTGTAAAATAATGAAATACAGAGGAATTTTATAAAATTAATGTAATATAACAGGTATCAATGAATCATAAAAACAATCGCATTTATATATTACAAATTATGAGTATAGATACCAGACCATTTATTTAATTTTAAATATATATAATTAAACTTCCCGAAAAAAGTGAATATTTTGACCAGATTTATACCTGTTGGCACATCCATATGCCACACAAAATACTAGTATAATTACTAAAGGCAACCAATGCATAAAACCAACTAAAATGCAATGTATTTTAATTTATAAAATACTTTTAACAATGATTCACTTTACATGTACATATACGAAAATTATTATATTTTGCCAACCAACAAAATGGCGACCAAGCGTTGATAATGCTTCACCCGATAACGCGAGCACCTTATCTACAGTATAGAAGTCTGTGCTCTCTACGACCGTTGCTTCACCACCTAACCACCAGAGCACACGGTCCTCCAACCCAGCGCAACCGTCTCAGCACGACCTCTGGCGAACCAAGTCCCGGTCTCTGCCAATTCGTCAGGCTATAATTTTCTGGCTACAATCCCACTTCTGATATTTATGTTAACTTCTCCAGGGGAAATAACGTTAAGAATCAAGCCACCGCACCAGGAATCGAACCCGTGTTTCTGGCTTGCCAGGCTCTACCACGAAGGTTTCCGACCACATAGATTTTGACGCTATCTACCCCCAAGTTAACATGAGTTTTCCATTAGTCTATAAGCCTTTCAATTTATATTTTTAGATTTCATCATAATAATATTATATATTTTTGTATTTAGGTTCAAACTGGACATAGAAAGGACGTATCCTGGTCTTGGATACATTCCAATGACCAGGGATATTGAAGATATGTCAGTGTCCAGAGTGCTGACACTAATAAGGAAAGTAAAATAACAGTACAAAGCAAATATCGGATGTTCAGATCTGAATGACAACAGTTAGATTACATTTCGTACAGCGTTACTCGATGGTTTTGATATGCATACAAATTTGATTAATAATTTTATATTTTTACAGGCATTATGGTGATCAATTTTTACATAAAAGGTGACCAGTAATCAATAAAAATGGTTCTTTTTAGAACCATCCATTTAAAACAGCTCTTTTGAGGGCCACAAATATTTTGAATTTGATTTAACTACTACTATCATTATAATGTTCTAAATATATTATATGTTTGTACAATACATTTATATTAAATATTTAAATAAACATTTGGCTATTATTTTGGTATCAGTTTTAATATTATTGAAGATTGAAATGTAAGTTGAACACCTAACTATGGTCTTTATAAAGTTGAGAAAACAAATTTATCATGCAGTCTGTTAAGTTGATTTTATTTAATTTTAATTTTAATTTTATCTGTTAATCATATTAAGTTTGTAACGAGACAACACTCCGTGTTTATGTCACTAGCGCACTCCTGTTGTCTGTTACTCCACTACATACCACACGCACACCAGCCGCTCTTGCGTATAAAATCATACACAAACGTCGCCGAACATCGCAAAAACGCAATAGACGAGATTAGTCGTTACGTCACAATCTATAATGATAACGCGTCTGGTTCCAAACAAACCGTTATCACGGTTCATTCCATAAGAAATGCATTGCCCTTTTACTATTTTTGATTCATTTGGTTTTTTAATTATTTTAAATTGTTTTTTTACTTTTTAAACCTATCTTATAGTTTTGTGTGCATATTGAAATATATATTTAACCAATATTTATGTAGGTAGATTCACTTTTATATTTAAAACATATGCCCTAAAGCAAGCATGTCAAACCTTCATTTTTTTCGATTGATTTGCATAGGTAGTTTTCTGTTCAATATTTTTGGCCCAGTTGTGAGTTGATACAATGTTTGACATGCTTGGTCTAGAGTTCGGTATAACATATAATAATATTTAATTGGTATACATTATATTATATATTTATATGTTCATTTGTTTTCAAATTACCTATTGATTATTTATCACAAAAAAAAATTAATTTTACTTATTTATTTACTGTATATGTTAGAATTTGTCTGTATTTAACTTTTTATATGAATAACACGTAACATCTCTAAAATGCAGCTACTTGGCTACTTATGTTTTTTAGGAACTTCAAAACATGGCATCGATAATTAAGATTCATAAAATAATTGAATTTATTTGTGATCCTAAGGTTATTGCTAAAGGTGAAAACCATTTTGAAAGTGGAAATGTCCACACTTGTAATTTTGTTTTGGGAATTTTAAAAGGAAATGTGCATTCTAGCATGAAAAATAAATTAAATGATGTTGAGGTGAACTTAGTATTTATTTATTAATTTGGATTTCATTAAGGTTGTGCAATTACTAATGTAAAAATAACTAAACTATATAACTTTTTAAGATTGATCTAACATCTAGTTGTGCCCCTATTATTTTACTAAATTTTAAATTATATTATAGATTTACAAGATTTTATTATCTTAATATTTCAGATTTGTATAAAGAATAATTCTGTAGAATATGCTAAATGCTCATGCGCAGTTGGACTAACTAAATGTAGCCATATGATGGCTTTATTATTACATGCCCATAAACACATCTCGGTTACTGACTCTGAATGCTCTTGGAGAAAGAAAAGAAAAATTAATGATGATGCTGTAAAATCTATCGATGATCTCTACCCAGATAATTTCTCCATAATTAAAAATACTAATTGTGATTTAAAAAAACTATGTTTTGAAAAGCTTAAACAAAGTAACCATATAGTAGGATTTTCTTGGTTACTGAAACCCGAACCTATTAACAATTCAAATGATATTGTACATTTACTGCCATTAGAGTCTGTACTTTTTTCAAAAAAATTTGAATGTGCAATTGATAAAAGAGAATTTATATCTAATTTATTTAAATTAGACCAGAATAAAATAGAAAAAATAGCTACATACACAAACGGCCAATCGGAAAATATAAAATGGTCCCTTTATAGACAGTATAGAATTACTGCAAGTAATTTCCACAAAGTTTTGAAATGCATCAATCGAAACAAATTTCCACCATCTTTATTTAAAACACTTTTAGGCAATTACAATCTAAATTCAGTACGATCTATCCAATGGGGCAAAAATCATGAAGAAGTGGCATTAAATGAATTTAAAAACAAATATAAAATTGATGTTTTATCTACTGGTATTTGGATTCATGAAGCAGGAGTAATAGGTGCAAGTCCTAACGGACTTGCTACTTTAAATAATAAAAAATATTGTGTTGAAATCAAATGTCCATTTAAATATCGCAATCAAGATTTAAAACAGTGTTTGTCAGAAAATTCAGATTATATAATAAACTTTGATACAAATGTAAACAACTATAAATTAAATATAAAACATGAATATTTTGATCAAATACAGGGTCAAATATATTTAACTAAATCTGAAGGTTGTATTTTAATCATTTGGACCATTAAGAGTATTGTAGCTGTGGAAATAGAAAAAAATATTAACTGGGCTACAAATATTGACAGTTTAATTGATTTTTATTTTTCAGTATACATTCAATGGTTATTAAAAAACAATACAAATACAAATTAAACATTAAACAATTTTATTATTTTAATATTATATTATAATTTAATAATACAATATATATATAAATATTACTTCTTAATATACTATTGTAATTTTAATCATTCTATACTATGTTGTCAAAATTTTTTTGTTATATATACCTACTTTAATTATTACAATATAAAAGAAATTAATCTTCAGAAATATATAATTGGTCTATTTCTTTTATTAAAGGATTTCTAAAATTAACCAATGCTGAACATAATTGAAAAACAATTGAAGCTTTTACATACAAGCATTTAGGAATATGGGACAAAATATGGTACTCTTTTAACCTTTGTATTGCACGTTCCACATGAATCCGAGCTCTTGCAATATTTTTGGTTTTTACAACTTCACTCGGAGTAAATTGAGGTGAAACTAAAAATGGTGGAATATTTAAGTTAACTCCACTAGGAAGAAGATCAGAAATAAGAAAGCCTTTATCTGCAAGAATTAGATCACCTGGTTGAAATATATTTAAAACTCCACAATCGGCTACAATTTTTTTATCTGAAATGGATCCCGAATAAAGTTTACTCGCAAAAGTTATGACACCATTGGGTGCTATACCAATCAATCCTTTGAGAGTATTTCTATGTTTGTAATTACTGTAAGTCAACTTTTGTTGATCTAATTGTTTAGGTATATCACAAGATACCTCGGTACAGTCAATAATCATACGGCAGTTTTGGAAACTTTGAAAACAATTAGGTAAACAAAGTTGATTTTTAAGTTGAGATGGAACATTGTCCATGAGTGACTTGAATAAAATATCATGTAATAAAATTATAAAAGTTAAAGTAACATTAGATACAGTAGATGGACTGGTATTAAATCTAAAAGCTAAGTCTTTATGACCTAAGTTTAATTTTAATTTTATTAGAGTCATAAGTATTTGATCTTTTAATGAAAAGCAAGTGACATTCCAACCTAAGTAATAATTAAATGTAACATTTGAACATAGTGTGTGAATTATTTCAAACATATCTTCACTTAATCCAGTGTAATATTGAAACATATTATCATTTTTTGAAATTGAATGATGACCAAATGGATGTATTTTTAAGATCTCAATTTCTTTTTTCAAGTCTTCGTTTTCCTTTTTCAAAAAATAACATTCAACATTTTTCTCCAGAATTGTATTTTTTTCAAAAATTAAAGCAGCACAATCAGTATTAGGTTCTTCATTAATAATTGGATCACTTGCAGCAGTATTATCACATTGTTCTTCTACATTACATCTTACTGTTTTGGTTCTAAATTATAAATTAATTTGGATTATTAACTATATTAAAGCATTTAATATATATTATAGCATTTTAAAGTTTAAATATTTTACATAGCTGTAACTCATTTAAAAATTAAAATATCAATAAAAGCCTATGAGATGTCCTAGATAATATTATTATGTTTAAGTTTCATAATTAGTAAATTTACTCTATAATTAAAGCAGTTAAATTAAAAATTACCTTTTACGTTTTTCGGGAGAAACAAAATACATTAATTTGTTTTCATTCCAAGCAAATATGGACGGACTATTTTCTTTTAACCCATCTTTAAAATGGCAACTACACAATCGACTATTATTATTAGGAATGGAATCTGCCCTCCTAATAAAACAATTATAATAATATTACTATAGTAATAATAGTATAAATAACACAATAATATAATAAACAATAAAACTTACAGCTTACCTAACTAAATTCGCCCAAGAATTTCGTAGTGTCACATCTGTCGGAAAACGAAAAAAAGAACACGATTCTTTGACGGAATTGTGTGAACAATGGGGTGCCCAGCAGTTGACCATAATTAATAGACCTTGAGTTTCTTATGCACACAAAACTATAAGATGGGTTTAAAAAATAAAAAAACAATTTAAAATAGTTAAAAAACCAAATGAATCAAAAAAAATTAACGGGCAATGTATTTCTTATGGAATGAACCGTGATAACGGTTTGTTTGGAACCAGACGCGTTATCATTATAGGTTGTGACGTCACACTAATCTCGTCTATACAGATGGCGTGGATGAGAACGTAGTATGCAACGGTCCGCCACCCTTAACAGAAATTAAGTTTTCTCACAAACCAGTTAACTTAAAACCAAATTGATGATATCTTCGGAAGCACGAACTTCCAAACTATCATCTAATGTATTCATAAGTGTTTTAATATACACTCATTACCTAAATACACACACAACGACTATTCTACTCCTGACGTTACGGCCCGGCATAGCACATATAGGAGCCAACAACCACCGTATCGGACACCTTTAGCCCCGCTGAGTACAGCGAATGCTATCTGGACGATATTCACCACACCATTAGACACGGATACGCCACGGGTTTTTACCCGAATAATCCCGTTCCCCTTCACGCCGAGTAGGGCACGTCATCGCCACGGTAAACCGTCAAAAGGAACCCACACTCACACATTGTCGAGCCGCCGCCAAACAGAGCCAAGCAGCCACGACACTTGTACGACCACAACAGCAAGACGCCGGTAGAACGAGCAGAATAGTCGCTGTCAATAGTTGATTCGTAACACAAGCACATCAATTTCGTACGCCGTCAGTAAACACGTACAAAATTCTACACGAAGACTCGAAGCATGGCCGTGAGTTAAATGTACACCCTTTCTCCCTCCTTATTATTGTAATTCCCCTCATACACTATTTTTATTGTGAGCTCGCTGAGCATAATAAATATTAAATATAAAAGAAAATATTGTAATTAACGTAAGAACACGACTGCTGTATATTAAATAAAAATTGTTAAAACCTATACAACGAGTGTCATTACAAGTTGTGTGGATGCCTGTAAGTACTCATGCATAAATAATGTAATTTACTTTAATATGTGCAAACATATCGTTCATGCATGTGCTAAACAAAAAAAAATTTATTGTTTCGAATGTTGACCAAATCAACTCTTTTGACATAATGTCGATATACATAAATATTATATATTATATAGATATAATAAGAAAATATGTATTATTAATGCATTAATATAAGAAATAAAAATATTATTTGAATATTTAAATTTTCGTGTGGGCCTCAAAAATGTAAATTCTATAGGAAGCGAGGATTGCTTTTAAAAGACTTATTTACAACCCGATGTACTTCCGAATTGACAGTAATTAATGCAGCTTGTTCAACATAATTTATGTTAAATAAAATGTTTGCCAACTTTCCTTCAATTGTTGCAACAATGGTATGTCCTGATTGTTCAAATAGATTTTTAAGAGCAGAAATAATTGTAATATAAAATTCATCAACCAATGATTTAATTTTCTTACAAGATATTATGGAAAATTTTAATTTTACATCGGCAAATTATGATGTAAGTATGACAATCCCTAGACTTTAAAGAGCATTTAATTATCGAACCAGTGATACCACTTACTCAACAGTGAAAACTTAAAAAACATCTGGACTTAAACATTCAATTGAAGGATATCCCCAGTATTCTTAAAGTGAAAATAGAGTTATTTAACCAAGGATGAATTGAAAACTTTATTACACCAATTTCAAGTACAATAAATGCAATTGGACATTATATTGCATATTGTCATAGAGAACCAAATAAACATGATAAAAATGGTAGTCAGAAAAAAGAGCCAAATTTTAAAATTATAAATTAACTATTTTTAAATTATTTTTTTTAATGTTTAACATGGTTGGGCATACTGCATATACTATCTTAAATCGTGCACACAATATACAATTTTTGATACACAGCTAAGCCGCTAAGGTTATGTTATTATTTATTATTCAACATTAAAACGTTTTTAGTTATAAAATAATAAAATAGTACAAAGTTTATATACAAAAATATGCATGCAAAAGTCAAGTTATAGAAAAAAAACCAATAAAAACGTGTTGTGTGTGCTACTGCTGTTAAAAATTCTGGTAAGCTTTTGTTGTCTTCTTCGATTTCCAAACGATTTCCTTTTTCAATATTTTTTTCTTTTTTCATATTGTGATAATTTTCTTCTGTTACTTAATAATCCTAGTTTGCTGTGCCAACTTGGTTTCCTCTGAAGCAATTTCTAACCTCATTTTAGTTATTAACACCCAAATACTTGGATGCTTGTGGCCGAAAAGTCTAGAAAAACGGTTATTCCAACTTTCAGTTTGGTTATTTGTACGATCACTATCTGCTAACGTAAAATTATGAGTATTCCATTGTTCAAGAGGAAAAAGAGGTGGGCAATTTCTTAAACGTAAATTAGAATCTCCTGGAACACCTATCTTTCTATAAGATTCATCAACGTAAGTTTTGTCAAAGTATTCAACTAAATCCTTGGCATGGTTTGGCATTATACTCTTTAAATGAGCCATGCCATCTTTAACCATTTCTAAAGGTTAAAATATTATTAAATAGTATAAAATTTGTATTTAATTATTTTCCCACCAGAAAAGTAGAAGTTAAAAATATTAAATAAGTAAATTTATTAAATTAATAATAAAAAAAAAAACACATTGTAAAATCAATACATTCGTTACTAGGACAGAGAATTTGTAGCTCTAAAAAATCACTAAATATGCAAGCATATAGAAATTAATTGAATGTTAGATAATTCAAAATATAATTAACAACACTTAATACAGGTAACTAAATTTTTAAATAAATAAATTGACTTTTTTTCCTACATTCGATAAAAATACAGTACATAGTTCACCACTTTCCGCGCGTTTAGTTCGATTTTTGAGCGGATATTAATTGGTGCTGTGTCAGAGCAGGAGGCTTCAACGTATCAATCGATACCTGTCTCGATGACCGCGTCTATCGAGGGACTCATGAAGCATTCTTGGCAAGTCGAGGAGCCGGATATGGTGCCCGAGACGTTTTCGAATAACGGGAAGTATGAATACTGATATTACAGTATGAGGTAGTACGTTTGCGGTTTTCCTTTCCGTTGCCATTTCGAGCGCAAATTGGTATGAAACCCCGGTGTTAAGGCATTTTACGAGCAACTTATGTCTGATTAAATTTTTCTAGGTGATATGTTATTTGCTACTTCTCCGTGGTATAATTCCACATCACGCCATATACTAGCTGCAGATTGATCTAATAAAAATTAGAGTAGTGTTCGATGCATCTGCTCGTAGTGGGCGTGGACCATCGTCATTTGTTTATTTCCTGGCCCGAAATTACAGCAGGATATCGTGGATATTTTAACTCGTTTCCGAATTTACAAATATGTGAAATGCATAGGCAAGTTTTGGTTGTGTCCTAGGTTTCAACATATACTATGGCGAGCGTCACCACACGACAAATTGAACACCGTTACATACGCCGTATTTCGCCTTTGGAAATGTGTTCATTATAATAGACACAAGTGTCTGGGGCGAGTATGGACAGCTGAAGAAATTGTCATTTATGAAAATGACAAGCATAATCATGTCCCAGATGTAGCTGAAATCCGAGCCAAGGAAGTAATGGCCTCAATTAAACAAAAAGCTGAAACGGTGATGGATACACCACAGCAAATTTTAGCCTCTGTAACGTTGAGTCTCCCAGCGGCAGTAGTTGGAATTCTCCCACTGGTCACCGGGATAAAACGAAATATCCTTAAAGCAAGACAAAAGGCAGCGGGAGCTATGTCTTGCCCCACTAACATGGGTGATTTACTGATTCCCGACAAATACACTTACACGGTGGCTGGAGATAAATTTCTTCAATTCGACAACGGTGCTTTAGATAATAGAATTATTATCTTTAGCACGCAAAATAATTCGGATTTGATGGCGACATGTGACCATTGGTACGCTGATGGTACATTTAAAACGTCACCGCCATTGTTTAAGCAAGTTTTACAATACAAGTGATTAGGTAGAATAACGTTCTGCCAACGGTTTACGCACTGTTGCCGGATAAATGTCAAGATACGTAATCACGTGTATTGGATCAACTGAAGCTGCTTAAACCAGGGCTGTCTCCAGCCAGTGTTATGACTGATTTTGAAAATGCCCAGATAAACGCTTTTTCCCATAATTGTTCAGACATCAGGAGCAGAAGTTGTTTTTTCACTTCAGTCAATGCAGTTGGAGAAAATTCAGACAATCGCTGACCTTCGATCCAAATACGAGGATAAGGATGATCCGGATTTTGCATTGAACGTGCGAAAGTTGGTCGCTCATGTATTTGTTCCAGAGCCTGACGTAGTTGATTGTTTTGAAAGACTCCTCCGAACAACATTTTATACGGATAACGAAGACCTGATGTCAGATTTGGTAGATTATTTTGAGTCCAAGTGGATTGGAAAGCCATGACGAACCGGCCTTGGAAGAATGATTCCTAAATTTAAGCTGAGCCTCTGGAAATGTTACGAGGCAACGTTGAATGACCTACCCAAAACTAACAACGCCGTTGATGGCTGGCATCACGGAGTCAGATCTCTTTTAGGAGCAAATCAACCGATACATTGCTGGATTACCACCAGCACAGGGACGACGGTGTTATCGAGACACAGCATTGCGAATTAAAGATATCGTTGAAGACTATGTGAATCGCGACGCTTCCGATTGGGAATTGCTCATAACTTTCAATTCCAATCATGCTAAATGGCCAAGCAAGGGGGCACTCGTCGTTTAAAAAAAATGTCCTTTTTAGGGCATAAAAAGGCTCTTTTCAGAGCCAAAAAATATTTATTATTAAAAAAAACTAGACGACAACGAGTTAGGTATTTTATTTTTAATTATTTAATTAATTTTTCATAATTTTCAGCTTCATATTAATGCATTTTTATTCTTATATTAGTCCCATAGAAATACATTCGTTTTGTAAAAAAAACATACCATCGGCGTAAAGATATAGAGCCTGCGGTGACTTCGAATCTGTGCGTCACATGTGGAAGTATCAAACATATATCGATGATATTTGCGAGGGGGCTGACACGATCCCGGACGTGCTAAAGCTACAGTCGGATTTGATCACGGTTGTTTAACCATTCTAGCCTAGAATTAAAAAAGTGTGCATACTCTTTCCGTGTTGGCAGCTGTGCCAGGCCGATGATCGAGTGGGTACACCTATGTCATTTGAGGCGGTTGACAGGTTGGACACCTTGTGTTGGGTGTTGAGTGGCACCCAGATGGAGACTATTTCTGTTGTGTCTTATGCCTTGAACCATCACCTGTATTTAAAAAACGTGGCATTTTATCTCTCATAGCTTGTGTATTTGATCCACTCGGTGTTTTCAGTTGCATCGTATTCCTAGCTAAGTCTATCATGCAAAAGATATGGTAATCCAAATTGTTATGGGATGAGACAATCCCTACGGATATTCATGATAAATGCCGTCTTTGTATCAGATTTGCCATCAAGATTGTGAACATCTGTTTAAAATACTTGGCACAGTATGAGAAAGTTCCGTCAACATATATATATTTTGATGCACAAAACGTTTTTAAATTTGTATCACAGCTAAAAATGATTATTTTTTCTTGTCTATCATTAACAATTAAAAAATTTGTATTTCTATTTGTTAATATTTCCATACTTCCTAATACCTCATGTACTTCGTCGATCGATTTTGGTAGTGCAGGCATTGTCTTTCTTCTGGCGTTGTACATATTCCTTTTAACATACCGAATATATCTTAAGCCGGGCTCCCACGGCGCGAGGCGCGTGATTCGTCTTGTACCACGCGCGCCTGTCTTGGCGCGTCCTACACAATCCCACGGCGCGGAAGATTGTCGCGTGGCGCGGCGTGGCGTGGCGCGGAAAATTATCGAATGGCGCGGCGTGGAATTTTTGTTCTCGATCATTTTACTTCTGTAGTGCATAAAGTGTAGACGTTGGTTATAGTGCATTTTTGAAAAATAATTATTTAAACATGGAAACGAACCCTTCAAAACTTGCTATTTGTGCTGCAGCATATTATATTATGGCAAGTGGTGAACTTTTAAAAAATAATGATAAAAAAGATAAGCTGACAAGAAAAAGAAGACGATATTGGGTCAATGAATATTACAAAAGTCGAAATAAGTAAATACAATGTTTATAATAATTTCAGTTTCAATATTATAAAATACGAGTATGTATTTTTTAAATTAATAAATTATCACGTTTAAATTTCCAGGTACAATGCAACAAATATGCTGGATGATATGACTATGAACTTTTCAAAAAAATTTGAAAATTTTTGCAGAATGTCGCATGAAGATTTTGAATATTTGCTAAATAAAATTGGACCATCAATAGCAAAGATGGACACCAATATGCGAAAATGTATCCCTATCCAAGAAAAATTAGCTGTTACATTGAGATTTTTAGCTTCTGGAGACAGTTTTGTTAGTTTATCGTACATGTTTAAATTCTCTCCACAAGCAGTGTCAAGATGTGTTCAAGAAGTTTGCAGAGCATTAGTACAAGAATTAAAAGATGAAATTAAGGTACCTAACTATTATTATTTGAATTATATATTGATAAAAAAAATGTACAACAAAATTATAACTGACATACTTGTAAGTAAAATAAAATAAGTTCCTTCTAATAAAATAATCAAAAAAAATATTTCAAACTTGAACTATAGGTTATATACTATAAACTATAACAATAAAAGTACAACAAAACAACAAAATTATAACTGACATACTTCGTAAATAAAATAAAATAAAATAATTTCCTTCTAATAAAATAATCAAAAAACAAGAGTAGAAAAAAAATATAATAATTAATAAGCGATGTTCTAAAAAAGTAGGCAATAATATAATAAAATTTACTACCTACTTATTGTTAATATCAAATATTTGATCATAATTTCTGCCATTATGTTCAAATGACGATGATGGTCCGGGTACTGGGTTTTGTATAGTTATATTATGCGACTGTGAATAGCTTGACGAAGATGACTGGGAATGTGGTGACGGTGCTGTATATTCTGTATATTCTGATCTTGGTGATGAATTATTAGAAAATTCATTAAATGGGTGAATAATTTCGTATGTCTGTCCAATTTCACGTCGTGTTTGAGGTAGGTAATTTGGTTGAGTTCTATTATGTTTTAGATTAAATAAATAGTTATCTATGTCGTGCATTGCTATCTCACGGGTGTTGTCGTCAAAATCCCTCAATTTTTTTGCAAGAAGCTCAGCGTAAAGTGAACTGATATCAGGACTTTGTTCCACCGAAGCCTTTTTTAAAATATTATAAGCTTCATCCATTCTACATTCTATTTCTGCCAAGTTATCTGTCGCTTTTCGCTTTTTTCTGATGGCTGGTGACTTGAAATGTTTCTCGGTAGTTGTTGTCGAACTTTCTTCATAGTCTTCTTCTGCATTATCATGAATTTCTTCGTTTACACCAATTACACCGGCAGTCGATTGGTCTAATGATTCCTATAAACGAAAATAAAATTATAATTTAAAAATAATTTTTGAAATTAAAACAATTTTTAATATTAATGTTTGTGCACCAAGTAAGACCACCTGGCTAGCCCAGCATAATATGTGAAGTTGGTCATATTGGGCGAGGACGCTACCTCGACTCTCCCCCGTTCCAGCTTGGACAGCGGCCGGCTCCCGCTAGATTCGTGTGTGTGTGTGTGTACACATGGCGTCGTTACTCGTTAATTCGAATTTTGTTGGTTACCGTTCGTAACATTTATTATGCTCTCTGCAGTTCTGCAATTAAAAGTTCTTTTAATAATTTTATTATATATCGTGTGATATATTGTTCATTGCCGGAAGATCTTCCTTCTATTATATAAAGTGCAGCTCGCATCGTGTTTGGCAGTTCGTCATCCATTCCAGTTTGGTACGTGTGATCTTCCTTTCACTACATCAAGTACAGGTTGCTCCCTGTTTGGCAGCTCGTCATCCATTCCAGTTCGGTCCGGAGATTTATCTTCCCCCTTTTGTGTATTATCTATTGTATGATCAGTTGTCTCCCTTTTATTATATTATTTGTATAAGTTTGGGCATTTGCCATATGTTTTATGTATTACCTCCCAGTAGATTGGCCATCACTGGTGAGTAAACGGTTGTTTTATATTATCATAATTAATATATATTTTGAGGTATTATAAAAAAGGAGAGATATTGTTTTATATTTGATTCGTATATCATATATGTTCACTATTCCTTAGCAGCCTTCCAATTTAGGTGCAAGTCGCAGACGCCAACCTCATGGCAGGAGCGGTTGCGGCGTAAACAATTAATAAATGATAGTTGAAAACATTTGTTATTCTGTATTGTATATTTGATTGTTTCAATAAAAATTATTATTATAATTTTTAGTTGCCCCAAACCACAGATGAATGGCTGAAGAT